TATGGAGCCAGACATAGACTGTTAACATAAATGTTAATTGTGGTTTTGTTTTGGTTTTGTTTTTTTTTCTTCATATAGTTGTCTAGATTTTATGGAGCCAGACATAGACTGTTAACATAAACGTTAATTGTGGTTTTGGTTTTTTTTCATATAATTGTCTAGATATAAAAAAAGAAGTCAAAATCTCATCCTTTAACTCAGCTGTTCATTTTTACTTGAAAGGTATTTCCTTTCTATAGCACTGTTTACTCTTATCTATTCCAAAATTAAACACAGCACCAATTACCTGTTTTATATGTCCACTGTGTTGGTTAGTCTGATTCTCAATACCTCTCTTTTCCTGTACTTTCTGTTACAGGTAACATAGAGTACAGCTGCCCAGCAACAAATGAATGTGAAATCACAAAGCGCAGACGCAAGTCCTGCCAAGCCTGCCGCTTCATGAAGTGTCTAAAAGTTGGCATGCTGAAAGAAGGTAAGACTGATCAAGTCAATATGTATCTCTGCAAACTCATGCAACAATTGTAGGGCAACCAGGAAAGAAGAGAGATTGGTGAGTGTTTAATCAGTTACTGTAAAAAAGGCAATTTTTATGTATACTTGCTCTTTCTGACAGTCTGGTTTTGAAGCTATGGAATCACGGCGAATCTACATAGAGTTCATATTCTGTGGAATGTTTCTAACTGTGTGTAATACAGCAAAATGTACCCCAGAATTCAGTCTCCTTCAGTAGGTAACTACTAGAATAATCATCACAATATATCCTCTCATTTTCCTTAATGCTTTAACATAATGAATTCTCAAACATTCCTTTCCTCCACTCCTTATCCACTGTTAGTCTCTCGCAGTTCTGACAGAGACTCACACTGTGCCTTCTTTTCAGTCAGTCTTTGTTTCATCAGGATAAACAAAAATGTTACTTCTCAATTAAACAAGTATAAATATTGAGTATGTCTACTGAAGTTACTGTAACTACACCGGAGCAAATAATGGCATACAGGAGAATGCACTTTATTTTTTTTAAATTAAAAAAATAGCGTGTGAGAACCCCTGCCCCTCACTGTAAGTATATGTTGAATGTTTTAATTAATCAGTTACATTTTGAAGATACTGAATAACAGGTAAATGTAAGAAAATATTTCCAAGAAACAGTACTGCCTCACCTGATTCATGTATGCTACAGAAGGAGGCAATTCCTTAATTCTTGGTTGTCTGCTACATGCTTTTATTGCTCTTTAATGTATATGTAAAAATACACTTTTATGTGCATGTATTGTGTACATTTTTGTTGTAGTGCAGTGTTACCACAAAGAAAAAATAACAGAAGACGTCATGGACTTCTGAGCTAGATAATATTTTGAAATAAAATCAGTGTAATGTTTTATAAATATTGTGTCTCCTAGAGAGAGAGTACTTTGTGTTAAGCAACCACTTTAAGAGAGTCCCATGCAATTTTGCTTTGTTAGTGCTTAAAAAGTCAGCTTTAATAGATGGCTGATTTTTGCAAATTGTTTGATAGTAACTTAAAACAGGTTTAAGTATACAGCTATCAGGGTGAAATCCAAGAACGACATAGACCAGTGGGGAGATGATAGACAAATTAAGGCTATCGCGCACCTACAGACATATTCTTATTGGATTATACTTACTAAGAATAAACCTTGTTCTGTGCAACCTCTTTGGCAGATGCTATGATCCTGTGAGCCAAATCCTGCTGTCCTTAGTCTTACTTCAACAAAACTCCTGTCGGATTCAATGGGGATTTTGCCTCAGTGAGAATGGCAAGATGTGACCCTCTCTTCCAGTGATGATAGCAGGGTTTTTTAATTGCAAAAATCCTCATATAACTGACCACTATGAAAAGTTACTTAAAGGTTAAAGTGTGATGCTTAGAAAAACTGTAGAAAGAAACCTTTTGAAAGAGACTGTGCTTCTTGACATTGTTTTTACTAAGTTAAGAACCCATATCACTAGTAACTTAATATACAGATATATTGAGGAACTTGTTTGGATATGAAACAGTGCTACCAAGAGTATATACAGGTGAATTGATTTAGACCTTTTCTTTTAAATTTTGAGGACATCATTGCACATGCATTCAGATACATATTTAAAAATCTAGTCTGTGTGCAGCTCTTGGGACTTCATGAGGAAACTAAGTGACTCTTCTACAAATGAGTAATTATCTCAGTTACCAAAATTGTACAGAGATTTACTATGTTACTGCATACGGTTTTGGTAACTGAGAGAATTTAGTTAGACAATTCAGATGCACATTGTGAATCAGATTTTTTGCTTGAATGATCATTGTCCATGGATGTAAATCAGTCCCACAAGTTTTCTTAATCAGAATTTCATAAGTTATCTACCCTAAAAGTACCTACTTCTTTCTAAAAGTTCTACAATGACAAAATAACTAATTCCTTCAAAAATAAGGTTCCTTTGTTAGCTCTGCTTCTGGTCACAATAGTTTTTTCACTTGTATTGTGTGAGTTTTTCGGTCAAAAGACAGTAAAATTTCTACTTATTTTTAATTACTGAGCCATTTCATCTAGGGAGAGTTAGCTTATCTTCTTTTCAGGTGTTGCTTGTCTACCACCTAATAGGACAACCTGAAAGAATCCTACAAGGGCGTTTTATTTTCTTTCCTGCTTTAGTGGCCACTTTTGCTTTTGAAACCATAGTGATTCATAGTACACTTTTAGGACTGTACTTGGAGTATGGAGATTTTTTAAATTTTGTTCTTGTTGGAAGGTAGTTTGGGAGACAGGTGGTGTTGTTTTTACCTGTGGGAAAGTCTGAAGATAAGTTTTTGGCTTTGACCACATTCTTTATGCACAGAATTAAAAGAGATTATATACTTGCTCCTTTCCTCTGTAAAGTGGTGTACATTTATTGATTAGCATGGACTTAAACTGAGCTTTTCCTGCTGTATCTTAAATGTTTCTTTATGTACAGACAAGGATTTCAGTCCCATGCAGCATGTCAGAGATCATGCTGCAGTAAATCTATTCAAATGTAAACCTGTTCAATTCAATTACCAGTTTATAATAAAATTTGCGGCTGCAGCCTCCACGTTTGTCACAGCAGTCTCTACATGCTGATGGCACAGCATGCCTGGAAATTGACAGCCTAAATCTATTTACAAAAAAAATTTAGTTGCAGACCTGAAATAAAATCGAGTTTAAGCAGCTTTGAGTGGAGCGTCATCTTCCTTACAAGAACTTCTGCACATCTGCCAGTGTGCATCTTCTCCAGAAACCTTATCCTGTTAAAAAGAAAGTTTTTAAATGTAATCCTAAGTGAAACAATTATCAGATGTTGTGCTTCCCTGGAAGCACTTTTGGAAGGACTTTATTACATTGTCATTTTGTGAATTCATGATAGAAATCCCAGTGCCTGAAAAAAGAACCCGAGTTTTATTTTAGCTTTTAGGGCAAGGTCCGAAAACCACTTACAGCAAATATAAAGAGTGGCTTCTCTTATGATAGCTGCATGTTAAATCATTTATTGTGGGAAGATAATTATGCTTTTCATCCAGCATGCAGTGTTTCTGCGAGAGACCTAGTGTTAGGATTTTGAGTCTGTGTCTTGGGGTCAAACCCTGGGAGAGAATTGGATTTCTGGTCACATGTAATACAAGGTGGAGTGGGAAATTTCTGTACATATTCTCAAGGATGTCAATAGGGCATAGTCAGCCACACCTAGATCAAGGTTCTTAATAATTTATAATTCGGTTTATAAGAGTAAAGCAATGTCACAAGGGGCTGATCTGTAGTGGGATTGAAATCCTGGCTCCTGTCTGCATCTCCTATTGAGTAGCACAAGAAACTTACTACAGACTGATCCAGAGGAACACTTCATTTTGATTTAGCCCATGAACTGTTACTTGAAAACATAAATCTAGGTGTATGGATATTTTTTGAGTATGTGTTCTGCTTCATACTGAAGCATTCGGCAGATGCTCATGAGCTTTTAAGCACATGACAAATAGGAGGATGTCGTATTTTCATTTACTTTCCTAGGTAATGGTTATTAGCACCACTTTACTTAAGAAATTTTACATTTTTCTATTTTTAATTTTGTGTGCTGGTATTATGAAAAATCGGATTTTCAAGGATCACAGTTTGTTCTTCTCCTGAAATACAGTTTCATTGACTGTGCTTATGTTTTGGTGGATTCTCTCAGATTCACAAGAACAGATGAAACAACATGAAGATTTTTGTGTAATCTAGGGAGAAACTTTTCAAATGTATTCCGAGTGACGGCTTTAAATAATATTGCAGTTGCTGAAAGGGGATGGTGATGGGGGGAACAACAATTTGCCCTTTTAAAAAATGACCACTTTTAAGACATTCTCTAGTTTTCAGTTTTGTTGGTTTATAGTCAGTCTTTCAAGTTTGGCCTTTCAAACACTTTGGAAGCCAGTGACTAGTTTACCTAGGGTGGTAGAATTAAATCTGTGCAAGATTGGGTGTTTTAGCTATTTTCCTTTTTATAAAGCTAGTTGAAGTGAGAAAAAGGGGTTGATTTTTTTTTTCTTTTCTAAGCAGGAAAATTGGATTTAAAATTGCTCAAGTTGATACAGGAAATCATGGGTAGATATGGGATTTTGTTTTTCTATTGCTATTCAATCTGGTTGAATTCTGCTTTTAGTTTTCTATTAGTAGTATATGCCTTTTAATACTATCTGTGGGACTACTTACTAGCATGTTTCTGCGATAGCAGATCTTATTCCAAGTTTATTATACCACAGATTGTGCTCAGAATAACTGCCCATGTGAAATAATTCCACTGGAGTAATTATTCCAAAATAAAATTACTTTTTGTTTCACAGCAGCATTCATATAACTATTTTTTCAAGAGGTTATTCCATATGTTTCCATTTTCTTCATAGTGGCATAGCCATAGCCTCACTTTTATCCATCCCTATATTGTAACAAGGTTAAAAATTACAGTTCAGAGGGGAACCTATTGAGTGGCACTAATGCAGCTTTTAGACTATCTGAAATATTGTATCCTGTCTTAGCTCTCATGGTTCTGGGCACTGCTATTTCATACTTCTTACAGGACTGTTGACGCCAAAACATCTCCCATATTTCTCTAATCTCTGGACGTTTTCAGAATTTTTTATGGGTTGTTTGCAGTGGCTGATCTGCATTGCTTGTTGTTTCAGAACGTGTAGTTCACAAGTGGGTGATACATAAGGAAACAAATCTAAGTTTATTTGAAAAGTAAATTATCCCATAATGAAATGGCAGAAAATTTGGATTGCTTCACATAAGTGTGTTTGTATTTTCCTTGTGAATGGATGGCTTTTACAAATTTTCATCAGTCACTTTGTATCCAGTTAGAATGGACAGTGACAGAATTCCTGCTTAATTAGTCCAGCTGTTAAAAATGGGAAGTCAGATCCTCACCTAGTATTAATGGAAGCTGGATTTTGCACATTTAGCAATCTGTGCTATGGGGACA